TAGGTAGGTAGGTAGGTGGGTAGGTAGGTAGGTAGGTAGGTAGGTAGGTAGGTAGGTAGGTAGGTGGGTAGGTAGGTAGGTAGGTAGGTATGTGTGTGTATGTATGTGTGTATGTATGTATGTGTGTGTGCGTGTGTGTATGTGTGTATGTGTGAATCTGTGTATTTCTGTATGTGTGTATTTGTGTGTGTCTGTATATGTGTGTTTTGGATATGTGTATTGGCAGCTGTATGTGTGAATCACAGAACGGACGATTCCAGCGATAAGACCCAGGGTTTGATGCCAGTCGGTGCTGCTCTGGAATTGTTAAAGGGACAACAACTTCAGCCCACGCGACAACGTTGTACAAGTATGTCAAACTACTGTTGTGTGCTGTGACAGTTTAAGTGTATTTAACAAATAGTAACAAGATATAGCACTCACATTTAAGTGTGTGTAGCAAATTTTAATGGTAACCAGATGTGGCATTAACATTTAAGTGTATGTAGCGAATGGTAACCAGATATTATAGCACTCCCATTTAAGTGTGCTAATGAGTAATCAGATATAACACTCACATGAAAGTGAGGGTAAGAAATGTTGTTTTGAAAAGGCCAGTACACTTTAAGAAAAGGCAAGTCAGGACACAAGGTTCCAATGCACAATTTATTGGTAAGACGTCTACCTCTATAAATGTTGAAATCAAATCGTTTACGAGCAACCAGAATAGACAGGAATATGTTATTACTGATGGCGACTTAACTTTTAATAATATGTACTTGTTATGAAGATTCCACAAATGAATAGAGTCAACTCAGGATGAGAAAGTTTTTCTCTTCAACAGCAGAAATTGCCTCATATTGGAGGAGTTTCAGTTATCGTAAGTGAGACAGGGAGACATATTGATCTCATCAGAACATTATTTATTTCTAACATAATCAGTTTTACTAACGAGCATGTCTATTTGGTCTCAGTAAACGGTTAATTGTCTTTAATTGCGAGGAGTTCTTTTTAGCCAAATTATATTAAAATACTAATTCGTAGCTGGGGTGGTCAAAAGGTTATCGGGGTCATACTCGCACACGTAAGGTTTGACTTCTTCAAAAAGAAATCCTTGGCAGGGATAATCGATCCAGGTTCCGTTGACAGGGTCGATTGTGGCGCAAGCGTCCAACCCGCCACCAAATCTCTCGCCTTCATTAGGTGCCCAGTTTTCATAATTCACACTGCTGCCGTCGGCCCACGTGAATTTCTCCCCAGGATTGGCGTCGTCAAGACCGATCCATGTGTCATATGGCTCCTTGTAGGTTTCATGAAGCTCTTTTTGAATGTAGTCGTTAATATCTTTTGACTTGATTTGAACGAGTAGCCCGCCGTTCGCCAGACAGTTGCTCTCGGCATGCCAGAAGTAACGATATGTTGTCACTGCGAACTCGTAACACAGGCCTTTGCGAAACTGCAAGAACTTGTTCCGTGGTATCCCCGATGGACAGTCATCGATACTTTTGGTATTTCCTAAGAGAAAGATAAAAGTCTCTTAGATTATTAATGATCTGAGAACAAATATGGAGATTTGTTTTAGTATTCAAGATATGAATTTTGTTTGCATATTGATCAACATAAAATACTGGAGATTTTTAAAAAGCACCCCCTTTTGATTAGGTATAACAACCCAGTCTTTTGAGTCTTTGCGATTTTCCTTTAGGCGAGCAGCCTAAAAAGTAGGTCATGTTATAAAAAGAACAATTTAGTACTTTAATTAGTGTTCACAGTATATATGTACCAACATCTTTTTAAAAGAACCCACACAAATTTTTCTGACCATGTGGCGCATCTTTTAACATTCTTTTATTAAATGAAGTTGTAGTCTTGGATTATTGAAACAGCAGTAACAGTAACATTTGATCATTCTTACCCAAGAAAGATGGTTGATTTAACTCAACATTAGAAAAATCGAGACATCAGCACGCTTCTCGCATTCTTGCTATTTCCAGGTCATTCAATGTCAACGGTAAAAAATAGAAAAACAGACGTTGGATGTCTTGGCAATTGCAGAAACGCGCGGAGCATGCTCGGGCCTCGATTTTTCTAATGTTAAGTTGAATCTACCGTCTTTCTTGGGTGACAATGATCACAATATTATGTTATTACGGTTTGTTTGTTTATTGTTTTATATTAAACAAAGACCTGGGCTTCATGTTAAAAACAAAAAATAATTTTAAAAACCGACACGTGGTCCGGAAAAAACGCAACTTGTCTTTATATTAATGCTTAATGGAACTCTAACGAAAGCATCAAAATGTTATTTTCATAACATTACTTACTTTTTAGACTACTTAGTATTATTCACGTGAAACGAAAAGCGTCAAGAATCAAAACAGTAGGTTGTCTATATGCAATAAAAAAAATGGTGCCTGTTTATCAATGGTGTTTGTCTGATTATTTAATTACATCTGTCGGGTAAACATTAAGAATCACCAAAAATAGTAACCTTAAATGTTCTACGCTCTTATTGACTCATTTTGAATTATTTAGGAGGAAAGGAGACGAGCTGTTTCTATTTTCATGTTACAAAATTAGACTGTGTTCGCAATTACTTAACTATAGTTGCAGCCAGGACCTTAGTAACATCACTGATTTGTTTTAAAAATTGGATTACTTTAATGCTATTTTATTTGCTTTGAAGGCCGGAAAACTTTCAAAGATACAAGTCCTCCAAAGTCAAGCGGCAAAATGGATAATAAAAGAAAAGAAATCAGAGCATGTAACACTTATTCTGAAAGAACTCCATTACTTGCAAGTAAAACAAAAGATCAAAAACAAAATTGCTGTTTTCTGTTTTAGATGTCTAAATTATATTCCAATACATCTAAAATAAATTCCCGGAATCATATCATCCATTCAGAGCCCGTAGACCAGCCACTGATAAACTGATTCTTGGAGCCCAAAAACAAGGTCTCAATACAAACGTCGTTCGTTTCTTTTCCTCCTTTGGCCCCCACGTATGGAATGAACTCCCATACAAAAAATAAAGAGTGCCCATAATGTTCAATTTTTAAAAACCACTTAAACATTACTTATTCGCAAAAGCATGCTTGTTCTAATGAAAAACTGTTACTTTTCTGGTATATGCTTGAGCATGTCTGACAGTGAGACTGAAAAAATAGCTAGTAAAACACAGAGAGAGAGGGGAGAGACAGAGAGAGAGAGAGAGAGAGAGAGAGAGAGAGAGAGAGAGAGAGAGAGAGAGGGAGAGAGAGAGAGAGAGAAAATGCTATTCTTTTTACATGAATGGAGAACGAACGTTGTATTCTGCCTTCAGCAATTCAAATTTCAGTTTTATTGTGCTTATTGGTGAGGTCTTATTGTATTCTACATTTTTAGTGCACGCATTGCCAGGCTCAATGCGTGGCCAGTTTTCTCCTGGAAATTTCTACATACATAATATATACATAATATTATGTTTACATATACATACATAATATTTTGTTTTACAAACTCACCCGTCCTGTAATTTTAATGTGTGATATGTTCATGAATATAATGCGCTTCGAGCTTTTTATTTAGAAAATATTATTATTAATAATTCAACTCGGTAGTCTACTCTAACTATATCAATCTCTTTACCATTAAACTAGTAGAAACACAATTACAAAATGTAACATTGCTACCTTATAATTACAAAGTTCTATCCACTCAGTTCCTAACTGTGAGAAATTTCACATCAAACATTTTGATTTTCTCAACATGTCAAGCTTTTTCGAATTAATTTCTCTGAATAGCTTAATGACGACTTCGAATAATCTTACGATTTTGATAGAGCAGATGGGCATTACGAAGAAACTCAAAACGGCCAAAAATGCCAGAAAGAACTTAGTAATTCTGAGGTAGCGACATCGCACTGCGTTTTTGAGTTCCAAAGCAGGAATAATTCAATATCGTTCTTGTTAACTACTCTTACCTAGTCCCAGCACTAGGAAAACAACGAGGGCAGAGCTAAAGGACAGCATGGTGACTCGACTATCTGATGTTGTCCAGCAGAACGGACAAGTGATGCTACTGGGACTTTGCCGGGGTTATTTATTGTAAAATTCTTGAAAAGAATTTGCATTTTTTATAGTAGGGAAAGAGTGATTTCCGTCATGAAATGGGTTGCATACTTTTTTTCTATATTTTTAAGGTCAGATGAATAAAAAGAAACAAAATCCACCTGCTGTTTCTCTATCCCATGCGAGAAAGTTTGGCGAAAAAAAAACTATCGTTTTCTGTCACAGGTAACCTTTTTTTTTTGTTCGTTATCATCCGTAGCACAATAATCTTTCCACATCGTGACTCCAGTTAATATGCTGATCAAGGATGTGAGTTATTAAGGGGGGAGGGGGGGGGCTACACCCCCAATATCAAAATTCGGCTCAAAGTCATGGAATTTGCGTTTTAGGCATTTTTAGCTTCCTCAGCCTCTCCTACAACTATTTCATGGCATAAGAACCCCCCAAAACCGTATTTTTTCCCATACCGGGCATGTTTGTAACTGCCATTTCCTCATAAAGTCAGTATTTTATTTTTCTTTATCGGCCGTTTTCTCAAAATGCGACTTTTCTCTATACTTTTTTAAATAACTCCATCATTTTTCATCCAATCTTCATGACATTTTCACAAAATGAAGAGAAGAGGTAATGCTAAAAATTAGTCTGTTAAATTTTTGATATATGGAATAGATTTTTGTTGGTGGTGTCTGGAGTGTGGATTTTCACGGATTTTTCGCAAACTTGAATGCTACCTCAGGAAAAAATTCATTAAAAATTTTCTAATTCGATTAGGAAAAAAACAACAGACAAGTTTTTAGATCTAATGTTTGTCAACACGCATGCAAAAAAAAAAATCAATTTCCATGAGCGATAAGTGCGGTATTCATTACGTAAGACATGTCAATAAAATCCAATATGGTGGCGTATCCATGGAAACCTTATTCTCAAATTTGATTGCGGATTTTAAGACTCCTTACTATGCTTGTTATATGTGTGAAATTTGGTAAAATTCGGTCCAGTAATAAGCGAGATAGCCTCCAGGTGTACCCCCTCCCCCCCTTAAAAATGACGGAAAAGGTAGGACAGAATGTCTGTCGATTGTGTGCATGGGTGGAGAGAAAAATTTTCACTGCTATTTTTTTTTTTTAACGAACAATTTGCAGTCAATGTCTTTGTTAATCAGTGTGGCATAATAGCTAAGTTACAGTATTCTTTTTTCCATTAGCCAGATTGGAGACAAAGGTCTGCTAAATAGACACATCTTATCGTGGGGAAAGATAACATAATTACAAGATTGTTTTAGACCTTGAAACGATTTTAATAATATCTGTTACTTACTGACTGTAAAGAAGTAGAATTTACTCTCAGTACACAAATTTGCTATTGCCGCCGGTAAGGCCCCGCGTCCGCTGCGCTTTTTCGTCACTTGCAGGCCAAGCTCGCATGCAAATGAGCTTGTTTTTGTCAGTCACTGGCTGCCTTTGCCTGACTAAGGCCCCGCGTCCACTGCGCTTTTTCGTCACTTGCAGGCCAAGCTCACATGCAAATGAGCTTGTTTTTGTCAGTCATTGACTGCCTTTGCCTGACTACGTGATTTTCCTGCATGCACGCTTTTTTGTCAGTCGTGCAGGGGACTAAGAAAGCCTCGATTCGACTCATTTCGGAAGGAAATTTGCATCTTTAAGTACATTTTTGCTTCTTCATTGTACTTTACATGATCAATAAAGTTGTATCTCATTATAATAATATGTTGTACAATAGCAGATTTGTGCTGAAAAACAGAAGAAGAAAAAATTAATGCACTTGACCTAGATCTAGATCTATACTATTTTGTTCTCGGGAGAGCTAAAAATAGGCCAGGTAGGGACGTGTCTAGATCTATATCTAGATCTACGTTCTCTAATGTTTAGTACTTCCAATTTTCCGCAAATTTTTAGTTTTCTCCAGACCTTATCTGCTGGTCCACTAGATCTAGGCCTAGATTCTAGATCTACATCTCGATATAATATGTCACTTTGCCTTTCCTGAAACAGTGCTGTAAATATGAAGCTTAATTTACCCTTCGCTGATGAAAGTTCTGATGGCCGAGTGAACAGACAAATATTATTTTGTGACCGTGGGATCGAATCCCAGTCCAAGCTTCTCTTCTTTTTTCTTTTTTTTTTCTTCTTCTCATCCTCCCAACTTACCAACAATTTTTCTCATAATCATAATTTGTGGCTTTTTAGTTGTTTTAAAGAGGTAAATAAATAAATCGCCAGTGCTGTCTGTTGTTCTCGTAATCATAACACACTGGACTAAAAGTAGGTTTAGCTGGTCTGACGTCGGTGGACGCGGATCTTTTTGAGTCGCTTCTACACCATGCAAAAACTTCGTACATTAGCCTGGTCTGGAGATGATCTTGTTTTGGTGGACTGGTAGACTAAGGCAGAAAAAGTACTTCGTCATCGAGAGAAGCGTCTTTCCATGTATGATGCTACTACTTGGGGAATAAATGTCAAGTCAGCGGAAAGTACGAAATTATGGAGTTTTCCTATGTTTCAGGGTCTCAAAGTGCGATGTATAATGGTACCAAAAGTTATTTTTGCAAAAGCCATTTCTCTTTTAAATGGACGACATTGTTTACCTTTTTTTATTGCACAGATTCCATATTTAACTTTTCTTTTAATCATAATTTATGTATCTCCCCCCCC